CGCTGTCCCTCAGCTCTTCAGCTCAAGGCTAGTGCTCTACCACTTGAGCCACAGCGCCACTTCCAGCTTCTTTTTCTGCTTATGTGGTGCTGAGGAATCGAACCCAGGGCCTCATGCATGCAAGGCAAGTGCTCTACCACTGAGCCACCTTCCCAGCCCTTACTGCAAGGTGTTTTAACTGTCCTACCTAAACAGATCTCCATTGCTTACTTTTTTTCCATTCCTTCCTTCCCCTGAGCCTTTATGCATTGTCAGTACTGAGGATGAACACTCCGGGCTGTGCCTCTGAGAATCAGGTAGCTGCCTATAGAAAGCACCAAGATGATATTGGAAGGTGGGAGGAGAAAGAGGTTGAGTTATTTCTTTTTCTCCGCCTCCTCACTTTGGATCATTATCCTGGCTATGGATTCCTCCATCCGTAACCACAGGTCATGCCAATGACTTCTTCAGAGGCCCCTGGTGTCACTGCCCTCCGGTGACACCATTTCTTCTCCTTGCCCTTGATTTCTGCTGTCTGCCATTCCAGGCTCTGAATGCTTCAACATATTTTACTGCTTCTTTGAGACCTGTCCACACCTCTGTAAGTTATCTTCACTAATGTTTCTTCAGATGAAATATCTAAACACAATAGTCTTTGTGTCAGGGTCCCCAAGAGCTTACATTCCCCAGCCCCAAAACAGCAAGGGTTTTGTTTTTTGTTTTTGTTTATCCTATTTAACATTTATCACAATTATAGTTAATACTTTTGCTAACTTGCCTTCTGTCTTTCTCCAATAGAAGGTAAACTCCAAAAGCATAGTGTAGTAGTGCCAAGTAATGGGAAAAATGTTTAAATCATTTATTAAATTCATTCATGGAGAGATGAATGACTGAATGGATACCTGCAGTGAATAGTTTTGAGAGTAATAAATGCCTGTAGTCAGCATGGAAACAAATGAGAGTGACAAAAATTTGTTTACTTTTATGCTCTAACCATATAGCTAGTCTTTTTTTCCACCAGAAAACCATTTAGTATTTATTTCCCTGAAGCATTATACTATATACTCACCCACAGAGCGACTTAAGTATTTTTACTGTACTGAATTGAATAGGAAGATTCACTGCACTACCAAGTGAATTTCAGAACTAGAGACTCTGGATTATTAAACATTATTTCAGCTTGAGTAACAAAGACACATTCAAATTCTATAAGGAGTTGACCCCAATCTGAGCCATTCCAGGCTACATACTGCCAGCTAAGTTTCACCTGTAGACAAAGTAACTGCCAGATCTGTTCCCCACTGTTCCCCCCTCACCCCACTCCAGCTCACCAACCATTTTGTATGTGGAATTGTGCCTCTTCTTCTTTAAATCCTTTAAATCCGTTGCCAGGCTGGAGAAGAATGGCAGTGTTACCTGTTCTGTCTTTGCCCTTGTCAAAGTATAATTATATGTTAGTGTATAAATCTTGAGACTAAAACCATTCAGACCATTAACCTGGAAATTTGTTTGTAGAGCTAAAACACCTGCTTTGTTATTTGGTTATTTTGTTGCTCTCCTTTTCCATCAAAATTTTATTTTATGAAAATTCAAGGTACTGAGGGTGCAGATAATAAATTCATTTAATTTTCTTAGAGTTATGAGGCTGAAAAAGCTAATAAAGACATGGTTGTCTTCCTTTCCCATCCGGAGAAAATCTCTTGCTTTATAATCATTATGACTTATCTTCTCACAGGATTTCCCTTACTCAAGTTTCAATGTTTCTTAAATGTGAGTCTATGTCTCTTTGATATTTTTACTGCTAATCATAGGCAGCTAATCTGAAGAAAAAAATAATTCTCAAAAATTTCAGCTGAAAGTATTCAAGACAGTTGTTAAGAAAGCAGCTTGGGGAAATATGAGAGAAAGATGCAGATGGGTTATATGTTCAATTACATACAACCTAAAAATGTCCCTTGCAGTTCTTATCTGGTCAGGGAAGAGTGGCTTTGGCTTTCCCCAGAGGCAGCACCCTGGAGTCATTTGGTACCAGCCTGGCTGAATTCTCCAGGCAAGTGGAAGGGCAACTGTCTCTGTGCTACTTTCATTTGTTTGATGATAGGCAGCTGCAATGTAGAATTCCCTGTGAAGAACATCCCCGACACTTTGTCTTTGCCCCCTGGAAGTCACCGGGGTATTTCCCACCTTCCTGTGGTAAAGGGACACACCCATGCATGCTCATATACGCTTGCACAGGTCAGCTCAGTTTCTGTCACAGAGACCACCAGAAGGGAGAAAGGACGTAAGTAGGAAGGAAGTGACTGAAGCACCATTTTATGTCTGTTGGCCCAAAAATGACACAGCAAAAGAGTATTAGTTGTAGCAATAGAAGAAGAAATAATGATGACAGCAATCATAAGAATAGTGATGATTGGAGCTAACTATAGCATTTGCTGTGAACTTGATACTTCTGAGTGCTATGTTTGCATTGATTTATACCCACTTTGATTGTTTGGCAAGGACTTCTATGAAAGTTTTATGATAAAGAAGCACAATTAACTTAAATAGCTTTCCCACTGTCCTAACAAAAGTAAAATTGTCATTCACAGTTGGTCATTATAGCGCAGAAATCTATGCTGTAAATCAGGTCTACACTGTAGTCTGAGGACTGTGGTCATCTTCAGGCTGTGTGTCCTGACTATCCCACCAAACACAGAGACCTTGAGGCTAGTATTGAGGCACTCGATAGTGGTAGTGGTAGTGGTGGTATTGTTTTAGCAATTAGATGTTATTGAATCAAATAAAGACACAGGACTGTTTCTATTTTTATGAAGTTTAACATTTCTTTTCTTCTAGTGATTCACTTTTATAGTATCTCATAAAAGCTATCTGCAACAGATTGGGAGGGGGACTGGGATTTCATCATAGTTAGAGAAGTACTTTTCTAAATCCTTTAATCTTCCCCTGGCTCACAGAGAAATAAGAAAATAGTATAGTATACAGCATAGCATAGTACTGTAGCATATGCTGTAATATCTATGTATATGTGTGTCTCTCTATATATAGGCATATATACATGCATATATAGACTCATGCATGTATATATACATATATTTGCTATAGTGTATATGTATATGTACATATGTTATATTTACATTGCTATATGTATGTATACATATAACAGTTGATTATCTCTTGAATTTACAGTTCCTAAAAATATTCCTAAAATAAATAGAAAAGTGAAGAGGCACAAATGAATGAATGTAAAAGAATGAATAAATGAATGAATGGTGGCTTCCTAGTTTAAGGAGTTATATGCATGTTTTTTCCCATACTGTAAATCTCATGATCTTGAATTGTAAGCTCTAGACAATGCTTACGCTAGAATGTCACAGTTCTTATATTCCCAGAATGGTGGTAAGTTAGATATACCTCATGGTCTTACTATCTGAGCATCTTCCATCACCATTGTATAGTTCTTAAAAATGGTCCTCACCTATTGCAGTTCATGCTGATTCCAATTCAACTAAGGAAATCTCTTAGGAGAAATTCCTCCTGAGTCCGTTCTGGATGCAGAGTTTGGAGATTCCATGTCTAGCATTGGGAAATAGTCAATTGAGATACACTTTGTATCTTTCCTACCAACTGCAAATTGTTCATCCTTCAGGA